TATATATATATATATGTATATTCATTGTATAATTTATTACGCAACATTTTTACGAATATTTCTGACTGGCCAAGTAGTAAAACTTTCGAAATGGAAATCAGGTGCATAGAAAACGCAGTAAAAGTCCGAAAATTGCATTCGGGTTTCGAATTTACGAGAATGCACGTGCTGTGTGACTAGGGATTATTTGCCCGAAATATTGGTGGATGTTTCATATGCCAGGGCAAAGCTTTCCGGTAAAACGCGAGAAGCAAGGCGGAAATATTGGCGGCGAGAAAATATGAGTGAAAACTTGATTTGAGATTGGTGGAACCGAGGTAGAGTTTTCTTGGCAGCGGATCAAGCGCATACTTATATACCTACCTATGCAGACAAATGTATATGTTAGTTATATACGTATTCATGCAAGAGAGAGAGAGAGAGAGAGAGAGAGAGAGAGAGAGAGAGAAGAGGTAGCAAAAGAGGATAAGAGAGGAAGATAAGCAGGTGGCCAATCGATGAAAACGATTTTCTAACTCACTGACCAATCTCTACGTTACATGGAATCGTTGCTTGATAAGAGTTTTTTACGTTTTCTAAATGGACAAGTCTCGAACGAAATTTCCAGGAAAAGGAAGATTTCCACCTCTTATCTTGGTTCTCTAATTTCTCTTCTCTTATTGGACGTAAGAATTGTTTAATTATCTTCATCTGACACGGCCTGACGTCTCATATGATCGTTTTTTAAATAGTATAATACTGTGCTTCATGGAATTTTCAGCATTAATTTCTAATTGTTTTTTAAAGTCATCATATTCATTGAAGTTCATAAACACAGTTCGTAAATGAATATTTTATTTTTATGAAATTGTCGGAATATTATTATCAGTAAACAAATCAGATTATAAAAAAATTTATTAAATAAATGCAATTTTGCATCCACAGAATAAATTATTCCTTTATGTTATAAAAAATTCCATAATGTTGATTTTATTTATTATTAACTAATATCTTTTTAACAGGAAAAAGTTAGATTGAGAAGATAATTGAAGTATGACAAATCAGATTTGATAATATAATCAAATGAAAATTATGGCTTGAAAATTATTTCATTAATCTACATCATGTGTAACATTAATGTATATTAATGTATTTATTGATTGCATTAACGCATGTTACTCGCGAGCAAAATGGGAAGACGTTTAAATATTGTCGAATAATAAGGATAATTGAATCGTGGATAAATCAACGAAAAGTGTGGCTGCAATAAGGGAAAAGTGCCCCATTAGGAGCATAGAGGAAGTTGTCAACAATAGCGGTGCTTAGAACCAAGGATAGTAAGCGGGGTGACACACGTCATGGGTGACAGGAGGGCGAAAACCGAAAATAGAGAGGGGCGAAACGACGACCCTTGTACAATTTCGACACGGGATGCTTTCAGAGTAGGACTATTGTTCCTCTCGTCGCCGGAAATGCGAATTTTCACTTACGCGTCCAAACGCAGTCGTTGCTTACTCCGAGTCGTTTTATTCTAAAAGCCAAGTGATTTAATTTAACGTACTCTTTCAAGTATCCATTTAAAATTGTTCGTTATTACTGGCTAAGATGAAAATTTCTTTAACACTTAGTTCAACACCCCAATAAAATTTCTTTTTTTATGTCATAATGTTTAATTCATTTTCTTATAATTGTTGTAAATTAAATTCAATTTATAATACAGATTAGCACAAGCTTTGCTTTATTTAATTTTATAATTTAAAAAATCACAAAACATTTCTCCGTATATTTTTCATTATGTAAAATAGCAAATTAATGAGCGAACCAAATGAAAGTTCACGCAAAATAAAAAATAATAATGCTTTTTGAAAATAATTATTATTTATGCAACAGTAAAAAATATACTAATTTTTATGATGTGATTTTATGATATAATCATTTTGTGTGCATTAGACAGCTTCAATGTAAATATTACGTTAAAGGACAAAATTATTAATTAAGTATAATTTATTATGAGAGATTAAAATTGTATCCATATATACAAATTGGAATAAATTATTACATATACGCAGAAGCATGTACATAGATATTCCACGAAATGAGCATACATTATGAAAAATGAAGAATTATCAATTAAGTGCTTAAAGAAATTTTATTATTCATATATATTATTCGTATAAATACGATGGCTAGATCATTCAATTGTTGACGAATCATATTAATTCTTATACGGTGAGTGCACTCGCAATATTTTTACCTATTACGAGAATATAAAACGTTATCTTTCTAGTGAAGATATTGAAATTCCGATCCGAGGTGGTAGAAATCAAATTCAGCAAGATTCGTTCGGATACATTCGCACATGGTTGAAGGGTATGTCTGGTATGCAAATAAATTGTTATTTCGCGGCTTTCGTTAAATCAACTAAATTATTCCGTTAAATCGCTGCGCCGCCGTTTCGCCGCGCTGACGTTTTCCCAGTTTTACCGGCCGAAAGTGAGTTACGCCGTTTCAATCGTCAGAATGAAAAGTGTCAAAGGACGGCATAAATCTGCTCGTTCAAAAACAAAGCGCTTGGCCTCTGAAAACGAATATTCAGTGGAAAATATCGCGCCTCTCATGCCCTGGTTATTTAAACCAATGGTATTTTCTGCGAAAGCAATGGATCCGCTCGTCAAGATAAAGGCCTGCGATATTGATTTTTTTTTTCAACATTTCACTCGATGCTGTTTACGTGTGTGTGTGTGTGTGTGTGTGTGTGTGCGTGCGTGCGTGCGTGCGTGCGTGCGTGCGTGCGTGCGTGTGTGTGTGTGTGTGTGTGTGTGTGTGTGTGTGTGTGTGGTGTGTGTGTGTGTGTGTGTGTGTGTGTGTGTGTGTGTGTGTGTATATACGTATGTATGTCTATAGAAGGTAAATGTTAAGTCTGTTTTCTTTTCCGGCATTACTTTTCCGTTCATTATGCCAATATGATTAAAATTAAATTAAATCATAAAGCAGCAGGTCTATAAATATTACGAATGAAAGTACGTAATGGCATAAGCAGTTAACGAAATTAATGATAGTCTCAGGAAAAATTCAATGGGATGCAATTTAAAGAGAAAAAGGAAGAAAGAACAAACGAGAGAGAGAGAGAGAGAGAGAGGGGAAGGGGGGAGAGGGGGAAGGGGAAAGACGCATTAAAACATTTAATTGAAGCGTTGAGAATGAAACTTTATCAATCGATAGGGTACTCGACGATTGCAGAAATACGGATGAACAACTATATACTTAATCCTCTCACCGCCTGTCTTTCACTTTTCTCTTTTCTTGTTTTTTTCCTTGGTATGCGATCGTAGTTCGTCTGATGTTGCACTCAACAGGAGAGCTCTACAGATTACTAGCGTACGCTTTTCCACTTGAAGGTTCCTCGAGATTTATCTACTTTATGGAACGGAAGGCTCGGCACGTCTTTATAGTTAATCACGTGATCGTACACTCGCATGAATCTCGTTTATGTTATTCAAGCTAGTCATGCAGTAGCATCAATAAGCTGTTATAATAGTATAAGATATAACACAAACACATCTAAATATACAGGCGCATATTATGAATTTTATTTTAATTAATACTTTCACTACATATGTCAAGTTTTATATTACAATAAATAGTTCATATACAGATTCTTGATATCCAACGAGAATTCCATATCAAATGGAATTCTCGCTAATGGATATGAAAATATAAATAATGAATAGCGATAAAACGAGCCCAATCTCATGTCCATAGTGATAATTTAACCAATGACGAATGTATGCATGTTTTGTTATGATGGTGATTCAGTTGAATTTTGAGCGAGAAATTATGCGTAAAACTCTTTATATAATATCATGAAAAATAAAATTCGAAACGTCGCAGTGATTAAAAAAGTGTGATAAGTTAAACACCATTGTATGTTATGTACAAAGGATATTTACATATGCAAAACATATTCAGAAATATCAGAACATTAAAATGATAATTCGTTTGCGGTTGTCATAAAGCGATGCCGAAAATTAGATGTGTCATAACGCGAAATTCTAATTTTTGCAAATTAATTTTCTATACTTTACAGCATATTGTTACACAGAAAAAAAATCTTTATTGAAAACGTAGAGAATGTAATTTTAGTGCAGTTATGTTGTAAAATATATATATATATATATATATATATATTCAGCTTTGCTTTTTGTTTTAATACAAATTAATTATATCTCATGAGAGATGATATTGTATAAGATTAATACAGAATCTCTATACTTATAAACATTTTTTTGAAAATAGCATATGTATAAAGCCATTGTTTTGTATTAAATTCAAAAATGAAAACAAATACATGAAAATAAAAAACTAGATAAAACAAGCTTTACTAATTTTTTTTCAAAATTTGACTTGGATTACTTTAAAAAAAGCTGCTTGTATTAGGTGTACAACTTTGCTTCCGCCGTTTTTTTTTCCGAAATTCGAGGCTTTATTGTAAAAAACTGGTTATACATTTATGATTCAAAGTATTGTCCATCGCTGGCCACTACTTTCTCCCATCTTTCGGGTAGCGTACGAATCCCGCATCGAAAAAACTGATCATCTTTTGAGGCTATCCACGAATCGATCCAATTTTTTACTTTTTCATAAGACTGGAAGTGCTGGTCAGCCAGGCCGTGTGCCATTGATCGAAACAAGTGATAGTCAGAGGGAGCAACGTCTGGAGAATATATATAATAATGGGCGGGTGGGGTAGGACTTTCCATTTCAACGTTTCCAAGTATGTCTTGACCACTTTCGCAACATGGGGTCGAGCATTGTCATGCTGCAAAATTACTTTATCGTGTCTCTCGTTGCATTGCGGCCGTTTGTCTTTCAATGCTCGGCTCAAATGCATCAATTGCGTTCGATACCGATCGCCTGTGATTATTTCAGTCGGTTTTAACAGTTCATAATACATTACGCCGAGCTGGTCCCACCAAATACAAAGCATGACCTTGGACGTCAAAATCACCGTTCTTGAAGCGTTGAAACCACTCACGACACGTTCTTTCACTAATAGCGGCCTCACCATAAGTATTTGAGAGCATTCGATGAGCCTCAGCCGCAGATTTCTTCATATTGAAGCAAAAAATTAAAACCTCCCACAAATGACGAGAATTTGGCTCGTAAATTGACATTTTCAATCGAGAATAATTTTATGATGCAGACACAAATCGATTAATGTTTCTATGGGGTTATGTTGACAGATGCCCAAGTTTATTGTATGACGTCTATGATCTATTTATTTCGACCATCACTTACCGCTAAAGCCATTTATAGGAAAACGGCGGAAGCAAAGTTGTACACCTTATATATATTTATTAAAATGTAGCTTTTTGTACATATATGTATATTTATTATTATGCAGTTATTAATTAAAAAATTGTATTCATCACGTTTGTGTTCACAAAAAAATAATACATTGACAAAACATTGGTCACGTTTCACATCATCTTAATTAACATCGATGTAGATTAATAATTTAGAAACAAAATTCTGTCCACGGATTTAGTTTATTGACAATTCTATCAGCCATGTGAACGTGCACAGAATGTTTCAAAGTGACAGCAACTGTAGTTCATCCTTTATTAAACTTCAATATTAAATTATGACGGTAAATTGGGGATATCAAAGTTTATATGAAATACAAATAATGTATTTTGCGATGGCTTTTTATAGATAAAAAATATGCCGAAACCGCGAAATTCGATTTCTATGTATTTTTTAACAAAATTTGGTCTGCTTGTCCGTAACAATAAGACATTTTTTAGAGTTATCAAATTTTGCAATTTTTTGGTTTATATTTTTATTAAAGATTTCTATGTAACAATTTTCTCTTTCTTTATTTAACTCAATTATTTCTCTCTACAAATAATCGATCAATTTGCATACAAAATCATGTTACGTGTTAAATTTGCTGGAAGCTACGGTGTGCCGTGTCGAACATGTCGATTCTTTTGTGTAAATCTCGCAATGTGTATTCCGATATCGGTGTGGTTTTTGGGGAGAGAAGCCCCTAGGGCTAGGAAGAACCTAGTAGTATAGGAACGGTGGGATTGATGTAATGGAACGGGGCGAAAATGTAGTAGGCGCAAGTCCCGGGTCTTCCACCGTTGCAACTCTAATCATCCAGTAAGGTCACGTAGCTATGACTACGTCAAGACGTATATAGGGATAAGAGAGATGCGAGGATGGCGAGAGGCGATATATACTTACAGCGTCACTGTTGAGCTTCCACGTAACGTCAGGAGCGGGGCGGGATTTGCCTGAAGTGCAGTTCGCCCGTAACATCTCGCCTACTGCTATGCGCTCCTTCTCGGTACGAATCGTAGGATCCGTTTTTGGGGCGTCTAAGGCATAATAATTATGTCGTTTAGCACATGCGACTGCTGCCACGGCACTAACTCGACACCTGGCGACACGCCAACGGCGCCGGGGGCGTCATAGAGCATACCGGAAACACTTGAACAACGACCCTGTCATGTTTGGTACTGACGACTAGGGCTAGTGTTTCCAACGTGTCCCTCGGCACCGCTGCCATGCATTTTGTTTAATAATTTGTAATCTGCATTACATCGTGACATTGCTGCAGAAATTATATATTCTTATCTGATATACGAGATTTTCTCTCTCGTGCAGAAACAGTTGGATATAATTACGGTGACCATACATTCTTTATTGTAAAAGACAGTCCTTTATTTTAGGTATACAGTTATCCTTTAGATTTATTTGTGTCTTTAAAATTCAATTTTGTTCTTTATTTTTCAATATTGTCCTTTATTTTGACATTATGGGAAATTCTTTTTTAACTAGCATTCCAATCTATATGTACATAATATTATATTAATAAGAAAATTTTTACGGAAAATATTTTACAAAATATTTTAAGCATATAAATGCAATTTGTTTTTGTTAATTATATTTTTTAATTTTTTAAATTAAATTATTCAAACTGGAATTGTTTTCATTTTTTTATTAGTTCGAACTTTTTATTATTTCAGTTCAAAGCTCAATTTGTTTCAAGTTACAGTCAAACTAATTTAAAACTATCAGAAAACTGTGCAGTATCTCGATTTAATTATACTGTGCAATAAAATTTTATAATGCATAGATTCTTGACAGTAATAAACTGGTTTGAACATATGTAGGAACAATGCCCTAAACTATTTCAAATTTATTCTTTATTTTCTATAAGACAATATGGTCCACCATAGGTATAATAATCAACAAATAATAATATATATTTTTTTAAAAGTTATAATTCTTAACTCTTTAACAGCAAGATGAATATTTAGATATCCAAGAAAATACTCTTTCAGAAAGAATTTTTGATAACGAGGCAAAAATATTTTTTACGTATTTAATTTTATTTTAGCAACCTTATGCAGTATAAAAAAATAAAATAATATTAATATTAATTGGATCAATAGTTCTTTTTCTTCTCCTTTGAATTAAATAAGCAAATTTTGAGATAAAATCAAATTTATTTAAGTAACACATAAATTATTTCGTAGTATTAATATATATATGTTTCTATATGTTTAGAATAAATCTTTACCACTGGCACAAATAATATTTGAACACAAAATCGATATCCAAGATTACATCTTATTCTAGATTTAAGAATTTTCTATTTAAGAGTAAAATATTCTTTTATTAACAATAAATATGATCCTTTTATCAATCCTATTTTATATAATATAATAGATCGAAGAATAGTACCATCTGGAAATCTTTTCCAGGATATAATAATTCTTCGGATATAAGTTGATTTGACCCAATTGCGTTTCTCATCGAATCAATGTATAAAATGTGTAAAAGAAGTTAAATAATATAACACGAAATTTCTTTCTTTACTAACTCTCTTATAATAAAGTGAATTTTTAAAATATCAAAAAAAATAAAATTAGATTCAACCCGATGATTTATTCATATTTTATCTAATCAATATAATAAAATGGGTAAAAAGAAGTAAATAATATATATGAAATATATGAATATGTGAAATTTTTTTTTCTGTTAAACAACGTATACACGCTGTAAAATAGACAAAGCTATAAGGTGCATTTTCACCAACTTGCTATTGGAGGGAAATTTTAAGGAAATCATAATAAATTGTAATATTCATAAAATACGATTAAAATAAAATTATGTTATTATAATTTGATTGCGTGACACAATAAACTCTCTGATTTGAAGATCAAAATTATTCTGCACCTTTCTGTATTTTTTTATAGCATTTCTGTATTTTTTTATTCACTTTAAAAATATTAATTTGTCAAGAATTTTATTTTTTAATTTATATATTTGACTATACTTATTTTTACTTCTTGTATTTTATCTATTTCATATTTAATCTTTTTTTCAATCTATATACTTTATCTATATTTATCCAATTATGCTGCATAAAGTTCCGGAAAGTATAGCAAACCATATTATATTTTCAGTAAAATAAAAATTCAATTGTGTGTATAAAAAGGGATTACAAGAATATCGGAAAATAAGCATAGATTCAGTTTGTCTATTGAAAATGAACGATATATCTTATTGTAGTATTATAGGGCACATCGATTTTCCTTAAATCCGGTATTACAGCCGATTGTTGATCCCTACATTGTGTTTGCGAAATGTATCACCACTTTGGAACCAAGCACTAAAATAGACAAAGAATGACGTGTAGATATATTTCGGACAATTCCGGAACGAGCAATTTATCTTCGACAAAATCAAAAAAGAAATTTTCAACGTCGACATGCGCACGTACTTACCAACTACTTCCATCTTGGCCCTTTGGATCCCAGTGTGATAAGAAGGGCTGCCTGCGGACACTTCACACTTGTAAGTCCCAGTGAGCTCTCTGGCCACGTTCACCAATGTTACGTCGTGCGAGTTCGATTTGGAGACCTGTAAAACGCGAAGCTTGATGTACCGTGCTTCACCTATGCTCCCTATTCTACACCCTCTCCATTTTGATTTTCTATACTCTGCAACTCATTCCTTTTTCCCATAGCCATTTTTACGTTCGTACGCCGTTACGAAAAGTTTCATTTTTCATGATGGAGGTTTGTCAATAGTTAGAGTCCCTGCACAATCATGAATTTCCAACCCTGAAGCGATGTCTCGGCAATATTCTCATGCAGATAATTTGCTGGCAAGAATTTTATTTTTGCGTGATCTTCATAAGAATTCATACAGAACTTTAGAGAATGTCTACATTTTAACATTTTCCAATGTTGTTCCAATTAAACTTCATGCTCGACGATCACGAGTTCGGAGAAAGTTTGTCGAAAGAACAAAATGCAATGAATAAGACGCAAGGAATATTCATTACTGGAATGGTTCACCGCTTGTATTTAGGTAACGTTCTTTTAGTCTGTCTTATGATAAGGATGTTGCGATTACAAAATAGCGAGACGATGGAAAAGTAAATTTTCATAGAACTGGTTATCAGTCGTGCTTGCACTTAGTTATCCCGTGTTCGCTAGTCTGAAGAAGGAAAACGATAATAAGTATCGAGCGTGCATTCGGGCAACTTTGCTAAAAGCGGATCTCAGTGAAACTGTCAGTGAAGAGTAACGCCATTCGCGGAGATTCTTTTCAAAATGACGTTCTTCGGAATGCTTTTAAAGGTGTTTGAAGAACTAAAGAAAGACCTGACAGTATTACATATAGATTACTGTGTGGAAAAGAATTTTTTATTGGAATATCTTTGGAGGAAGCATCACGTTTTAGCTATCTCTTATCGAAGAACAAAAGTTTCTTGTCTTGCAATATCGATCACGATGACATATCACTGATTCACAACACGTGTGTGGCATCTACGTCAAAAATAAGTCAGCAGCGTGCTTCGACTTCATATGCTACTTTGAGATGTGCCCGAGAAACGCATATATCTATCACAAGAACTTCGAAGTTAGCAAAGGGCAACGTGAAATTTTGTCTGAGAGCGTTGAAATTTCGTATTAAAAAGTTAGTACAGAAATGAAGATAAGTTTTGAACAAAAGTAAAATTGAAGTAAAACATAACTTTATAATAACGTAGAAAGGATCTGAAAGATACAATAGAAACATATCTATATTATGATATGCAATTCTGTTTCAAGTATTTATATTGTAATTAAATTTTGTGAAATCTTCTTTTTCTCATAATATTATAAGTGATAAATAGATTTAGGTCTTGTTACAAAGACCTATTTCCTCTTAAAAAATTTCAAATTCATGAGGATTAATCTAGCGCCCATCTTTTTCATTCGATGTTCGCGTCAAATCTGGTATTAAGCATCGCTGATATTGCTCTGCTCTGCATTTTGTACCGCTGATCGATTTTACATCCAAACCTTTTCACGTTTAAATCTGGATCCTGCGATCCGACCGCGCACGTTTCTTTTTTGCGACATCGCTCTCTTCCTCTTCGCAGGCATTTATATTCATCGCGGCGAGCGTCTCCGCCTCCTTTACAAACTATATCGGATGAGAGGACAGGTCTTTTTCATCGTTTCTTCCGCTTCTGGCATCTCAGCGTGGACGAGATGCTCGATGAAAAATATCAATGAAAAGGATTGCGCGCCGCGAGTATTCGGATCTACTAGGGCGGAAACTGCGGGAGCCACGCGTTACCTCCTTTATGAAAGGTGTGAACATGCATCCCATTTTTCAGTCTGCGTCCTACATTCTTGATTAAATGAAATCACACGAGCGAATACATGCATGCGCATAACACATGGTAAAATCTCTACCAATTTAAATATAAATAACTTAAAGATTTTAACTTGTTCACATCGCATCGATTTTACTTTTAAATATCAAATACGAATTTGAAAGGAATAAAGACCGTCTTAATATACTTGTTAATGTTAACATTTGTTAAAATAATCAACAACAAATAAATTTTTTCATGTCATTAATTGTCGATCAGAGAATATAAAATATTTCTAATGTTATAGATGCACGGAAAGAATGATTTTACTGAAATATCTAAAAATTTAACTAGATACAGACCTGAAAATAATTTTAAACCATCAAAATAATTATGTAGGATGCTCAAGCAGGTTATTAGAATGTCAAAATTTTTTTGCAGCATTGCTCATTATGCTTGAGTATTCTATAATTATTTTAATGATCTGATGAAATTATTTTCAGATTTACATATCTAATTGAATTTTGTAATTCTTCAGTAAAATCATTCTTTTCGTGCGTAATAAATTCCATATTTCTATGTCCTATACTTACAATTTAGAAAGAGTGAAGTAGCTTGGATCATATCGCTCTCTCTCTCTCTCTCTCTCTCTCTCTCTCTCTCTCTTTCTCTCTCTTAAAAACCAAGTTGAAGGGAGATTGATAGAATTGAAAGAAATGCTGATAAGATTCAATTCTTTCTATCGCAGATGCTAAGATCAGGGAAGGCATAGTATACTATACTTATTTTATCTGCATGCCGGAAAATGTTTTCCGCGAATATTCATTTTCGCAAACTCATACTCAGGTAGAATTATATTTGACGGCTTTTTTTTTCTTTAAAAGCCCACAACACAGAGTAATATTTGAAATTTTATTCTTTGTATTTGTTAAAACGTTACGAGGGTACAAGCGCGCTGTTCTCTCTCGATTCATCGATTACATAACAGTAACAATAGCTCAATACCGTTACATGGTATTACGGACCATGACTCATGTGGAACAAATATCGCCTATTCTTATATCGGCAGAGAAAATACTCGGTTGGAGATATACGAGCCAATCGGGATAGACGATAGAAACTTAATCGAATAGTGAAAAATTATTATCCTAAATCTTCGAGCGCACACGAGAGAGCGATCGCATCTCACGTACTACGAAACGTTCGTGCAAAGCCATTTCTCCTTCGAGTTTAGCTCGACAATAACGCAGTGATAATTGGCAAGTGGGGTATTGTTAAGTGGTGTTGTAAAAAGACGAGATTATCGGTGGCTGCCACACAATTTTGCAGCAAAACGAGTGAACTCATTCTAACTGTCGCGACATGGGAAGCGAATGATCGCGAAAACGTCTTTCCAGTTCACCATCCGGCTATTTGCGCGAACGTTGTAAATTTTCCGTATAAGGATTATGCTGGCAATACCTGCCGTTCTATCTTAGGATGCTTTATATGCTCATGAAAATTCCCAGTCTAGCTTCCTATCTGTCTCAGCTCGAGCCGAGTTTAAATCTTACGCGACTTGCTTTACTCTTATTCCCGTGTCCCGCCGTAATTCACCATGCAGTCATTTTCTGAATTAATATTCATTTGTTAAATTGTTCTAGAAGTTATTCGTCAGGGAATTATCGAGTTTAATTCTTACATTTCATCTTTTTCTTCTCAATCTTTTAAATAGTTTTTTGATATTTAACAATCAATGTGCACATATTAATGTAATTTATACTTTTGAGAACTCAAACTGTCATTTTTTAATAATATTTTAATCAATTAAGTAATATGTTTTAATTACATAAATTAAAACACAAAAACGCAATTTTTTTTTTATTAATTGAATTGAACATTAACTAATAAAGTTAGAAAATTGTAAATTAAAATAAATATTAAGTACACTTTAATTTAATTTGTAATAAATAATTTATTAAAAATTATTCACAAGTTCTATTTGTATTTAAAAAATCATGTAAAAATACTGAAAATGTTTTTTTTAGAAAAATTTATTGCGTATAAAAATATTTTATAGATTACTTTTTGTAATAATAATAACAAAAAAAACTTAATATGTATAAATTCATTAATTATATCTCAATTTTTTATTCATTATATCGGATCTATTATTTTGAATTTCTAAAATTTAGGTATACAGCAATCAAGGAAATTTTCAAAAATATGAGTTTGATAAAAAAATTACTGATATTTGAAATTTGTTTGCCCTTATTGAATTGTTATCAACGTTATTGATTTGTTATCAGCGAAAAAAAACATATAAATACAAATATTAATAAAAATCCGTACAGTAGAAAAAATATGTCCTTGTACAAAGATTAATGCTCCCTATCATTCCTCGTATTCGAATGTTCTCAAAATGTAATGGAGATTAGTATCAAAAGTTATATTTTTATTGTCGCTTTTGTAAGTGTTGCGAAGCAATAAAGTGAAAATCTTGTAAAATAAGTCCAAATTCATACGAAATTCCAGTTGGAAAAATTGAATTTTTACTGTCACATTTGAAGGAAGAAATCGGGAAGACTAGTCTTGCTTCAGATGGAAGTTCCTGTATCTATAACGTCAGTGTCATTTCGTCACAGCTTCTTTCGATAAGTTTCTCTTTCCATATCATTCCTCTTCTCATCACCCGTGCTTTTCTTTTTTCGAGAAAGAAATACTCACAACTTCAAAAGTCATCTGACACTTTTTAAGCGAATTCCATCTCGCTTTTCTATGTTACTTCTTGCCTTTTTGATTATTCTTCTTTTTATCTTGTCTTTCCCCGCTCTCAATAATTCATTTAGTCTTTTTTCATGCATTATATTCCTTGGTCTCCACAATATTGTACCGTTTGTTCCGATTTTTCTCTTCATCGCTTTTTTTTAGCCAGGATCATCTGCTGTATTATTTTTTTTAACCATATCTTTTTCTTTGAGTTACGTTTTTCTTCCATTTAAAGTTCTGTTCTACTTTCGTCCTTTGCGGTAATTATCAGTAAAGCACGACAATCCCACGAGAGTATTTTCCTGCAGGACTTCGGTATGTTCCCTTTGAGTCGTCGGACAAAAGGTATAACAGAATAGAAAGTAAAAAGGAAACTAGCGCAGGACGCTATTAAATGTACACGTTACAAAATATACGTCTTCCTGGGCGTGTTGTATTTCATCCAAGATATTTATTAGCTAAATCATTAAGCAAATTATAAAATTTATAAGAAGAAAATAGGTAACACAGAATAATTGATTGAGGTTATTGACTATTTTTTTCTTAAATAAAAATTAATTTTCTATCATGTTTATTTCTCGAGTATTGATTAACTTTTTTTTAACATTGATAATATTATGAAAAATGCGCTAAATTTAGTAAAAAAGTTTAAAATTAGTAAACAAAACAAAATGTTAGTAATATTGAAATTAATGAAATAATAATTAATTTCAAATAAAAGAATAATTTTGCTGAATTGATCTGAAAATAATTTTGCTGGATCATCAAAATAATTACGTAGGACTCTCAAACATGATAAAAAAAAAAACATGTTGCAAAAAATGTTGGATGTTCTATCAATTTGGGCGTTTTACATAATTATTTTTATGGCCCAAAAATATTTTCGGAATTGTATCTATAATAACTAAATTTTCAAATATTTCAGTAAAATCATTCTTTCCATGCAGTAAATCTAGATGACTTTGTCAAACTATAATATTAAATTCTTGATCGCTACACAAACTCTAGATTTAAGCCTAGATTTAATTCTAGATTTCATATTGATTAAATTAATGTAAAATGTAAGTGTATTAGAATGGCAGAAAAAATTATTTGTGAATTATTCTCATATATACTCAATAAGCGCAACCATGTACCTAGGATTAATCTCTAACATTTTTCTTCGACGCGTGAGCGCGTTTGCGAGGTCGTTATACAAACCTACAGGATATTGCTTTCGCGCCGAGTGCTCTCTCTTGCGGAAAGGGGGATTCCATTTTCTCGAGCGTCGGAAAATTTAAGGAGAGCCACACCTTAAGAGAACGCGAGAAAAAGGGATGTGAAGGGAAGGGGTAGATTCGCGACGCGATTGCGGCGACGTTGAATCGACGTCCGTAAAACACGGAACTCGCTTGACCCAGGTTCAAGCCGTGTCGCGGTCGTAGTACATGCCATAAATCAGTCTATCGATTCTTTTCCTCACCCTACACCCGCAACAGAAACTTTTGCCTTCGTCGTGACCATATCGGCGGAAAAATGGAGGTACCACGATGCATGAGAGATTAGAAAGGGCGGTTGGGGAAAGGAAGATCAGTTGTCCAGGGAGCGGTAAGAAGTTTCGTCCTCGGCGAGAGAATGCGACTAGATCTTCTCTCTTATCGAATCTACTTACAGGCTGTGTTTTCTGTAGAAAAATAGATTACGATCGGATCGAGCGTGAGTCGCAAAAAGATAGCTCGTCGTTTACTCGCGCGAGCGCAAAAATCGGGCCGGCTTTAGTTCTTATCTCAACGGCTCTTCGAAAGAAAGAGCACATTTGATAAATGGATCTAACAGTCCATCGATATGCGCATCTCTTGAGGAATTTATGGTACACATTGTACAACAATGCAATACGTTGCGACTTAAAGTATTAATTTAAAGTAATTTAAGACATTTAGCAATCGAATTTCAAGTTTCTTCATATTATCTAAGTTGCGCGCATATTGTTTTTGCTAAAACTTGAATGTCGATGATTAAATTCCATGACACAATATAAAATTGTTAACTGCGAAACTTGAAATTTTAAACTTATTTATTCTGGTACCGTGTAGAATCTTTTTCATGGATTAAGGACTGATTTATCGGGAAAACTCCATCCGTATAATGAAGACCATGGTATTACTGAGATTAGTATAATAAACTTTCACGAAAGTGTTATTAAAGAGATAAGATTTTTATTGCAAGTTAATTGAGAAGTTGAATGTAATAAAGCTAAATCTAATCGGTGACTTAGTTATTACTTTAAAAGAGGCACTGTTTATACTCAATGTAAAATATACACATACACATGCAGCAAAGATATTTCAGAGAATTAAAATGTTTCAGAGAATTCTCTTACTTACTGATCATTTGAACAATTTGATTTTTCCATAATTATATGTGAATATGATTATATTTTTCTTTATATTTTAATTTTTGACATTAGACATTTTCATAATAAAAAGTTTAAGATTTTATTAAAGTTTAAATCTAATTAAAGATTGATTAAATGGAATAAAAATATCTATCAAGAAAGTTTAAAAATATATGAAGCGAAAAATATAAGGACAGAAGAATAAAAACATTATGAATTCTTTCCTTATACCACGGAATGTAACAAATATGCAAGATGTCTATACGTTATAAGACTAATTCTCTAATTTTTAATATGTAATTGAATTAGTTAAAAAAAAAATGAAAATTTAGGATTTTTATTCTTTAAAAAAAAAAGATAAAATAAATTTTTTAAATATAATTTTTTTTGTAAATTTATTTTTGAATAAAAAAAACTTTTAATGAATTTTATATTTAAAAAAATTATTCAGCCAAAGAATAATATAGATAAATTTTTTATGTTAAAATTTTTTAACGTTTTTTATGTTAACATTTTTTGCAACGTTTATTTTTTGCATGATTTAATGTTCTATCGATCAACGATTGCAAATTAATATTTTGACTAATCGACTTCTCATAAGTGATAGAAATTTGTACATATTTGTATTTATTTATGGGTAAATTACTTACGTTAACTTGTATACCATCCACGTCGAAAATACTGTAAGGTGGTGGTGGTTTCCGGTCTGGTATGAAGCGATAAAATTCTCGATCATTGAAAAACCATTGTATTGTGTACAATGCTAAGCCTTCTAGGTCGTAATGGCATGACAATGTTACGGATTCACCTGATCTCACCATTTTCGGAACATTTATCGTCAAATCTTTCAAACCTGTTGCACCTGCAAACAATAAAAAAACATTTCGCTATGAAAGATGTTTAATAATGCGTCTTGTTTATATGTAAAAAGAATATTTATTAATATTGAATTATAATATACAACAGTCGTGATTAGAATTCGCAAAGTGCACACAGCATATTTCATGCATTATTTCAGCAATGCATTTACACATGGCCAATCGACGCATTTGAATGATGCATGCTATCTCCGAATGTGATTTTAGAATTAAACGCTGATCAGAAAGTGGGTCAGTCATAAATAATCTAGGTAAATTTTTTATGTCGCGAATCAAAACTTCGCGACGTGATTTAATGTTCTATCGATTTGTGATTGTAAATCTATTATGTACTAGTCGACTTTCTATAAGTGATGAGAAATATCTAGTTAGAAAACTTTAAGTATGTTTTATGGATAATACTAAATTACAATTTTAAAACTTACTGGTCTATTCGAATCTATTTGATCTAAAATGTAATTTATTTTCTTACTCGTATTATTTAAAACTTTTTTCTCTAGTATTTGATGACTCCATCTATTAATATATGATTTTTTGTAAAATATTTTATTTTTTATAGATTTCAATCATATTGATTTAAAAGATATGTATGTACAGTTTTAAACAAAGCAGGAGATGAATGTTTTATTTATACTTTGATCTATTTTAAGAATTGTTCCCTTACTTCAAAAGTGGGACAACTAAAAAAATTAAGTTTGCTAAAAAAAGAAAAAACTATTTTTTAATTTGATAAAAAATGACGAACTAATTAAATAATATCGGCAAAAAGAATATATTGTTAACATATCAAATATTATATTTGCCAATCATTTTTCACAATTCTTAACCAAAACCTATTTTTTAGTTGTGATGACTTTAATAATTTTTTTAAACTATCTTTTTTTAATTGTGACAATTAAGACGATTTTTTATTTAGTTAAGTTAGATTGCTTTTAATGATTGATAGATAATGTTTATCTAACTCATTTATGGTAATAACTCGAAAATTATATTTTTTGAACTATTTCATTTTAGAAATAAGAAAACGATGTATATAATACTTAATTTAATAATTTAATAATTTGTATAATTTGTATAATTTATACATTTTTTATTGTAAACAAATTATTTATATTGTAAAAGATTATGGTATTCAGAGTTATTAATAATTTAATAATATAATTTTAATAATATAATTTTAGTGACAATGTATCTCTTACCTAATTAAATGTATAGAGATGAAAGTATAAAAACGTGATAATAATTTTTCAATTTCACAGAAATTATTTGTTATTGCTGAGCTAGGACTAATATTTCAGTTGTGTTTTATTATTCGTTAAGATACTGAAAGCACAAGGGCTTTATTCTTGGAGAGACATTTTTCCTAAGATTAAGCCTATCTCAATCCATTTCCATTTCTTTTTCCCTTTCACGAGGAAAGATATTTTGCTTTCTGAGCATTTCTGTTCTTTCAGAGAGAACAGTTTTCAAACTGCAATGTCATCAATTCATGCAAAAAATAAATTGACTTACAGTAGATCGACAATTATAGATGAGTTCATCAATAATAGGATAATGGAAGTATAATAGAATAATCGAAGTTTGTCTTTAAAAAACAATTTTGTTATTAATCTTAAGGGGGAAATGAAAATGACTATTTATTCTGTTTAATACAATGACATATAATACATTATTATTACATTATGTAGAAATTGACTGAAAATATTAACATAAACATTGTGATCTACTTATGCAATATGACAAATCTATCGTCGTACATAATTAACTCAATTAACATAATTGATTGTATCTCATCAACGTTTGCTAAAGTGTTTGATCAAACAACACGCCAATATAGTATAATACATGCAATTTTCGATGTAAACTCTATTAACACGATTGTTTCAACATTAGTAATAGATGCGATGGAATTTAGGTGTGACAGTATTATATTTCTACATTTATTGCATTATTTCGCGAGGATTACGCACTCTCTGTAGCAACGAATGCTGATGAAAATTATATATGCTGCAAACAGTAAAAAGCAGCGAAAGGCGATCATACTACAGCAAGTTACATCTTAATTGTGGTGCAAGTTGATTTTAACAATTTTTCTCGAATTTCGCTCGTTTTCCCATACGAAAATAATGAGACGAAAGATAAAGAAAGAAAAAGAAAAAGACGAGATCGCGAAAATGATTGTTTAGCGATCGGAAAACACTTTATTCGCATTCAGAATTCTGTAATCGCAAAGTGTTTCGAGATCCCGGCGTTGAAATACGGTTGTCTTTTGGTAATTTCCACTCGAAGCTCTTGCGGTCATCGGGTATTCCTGTTGCCGGTCTTTCCGCCGATTCTGAGCTGCTTCGAATCCTATTCCAGCGGAGTGATCAAAGCGAAAAGGCAGTCGGCGGGGCCTCTATTACCGTCCAAAGGAAGGAGATCCTCGTGCACGATTCCCTTTGTCCACCCCCTCGAGAAACCAATTACAAAGAAGAAAGCGCGGTATCGCGCGCGAGTTAAATTAATTCAATGTACGTGTTAGTATTGGGCTAAATGCTTTCGATAAACTTTGCCGAGCGCCCCGTAAAGGGCGCGCGTTTGCGGTGCAACTTATTCCCAGCGTAAACTTTATTCACGCCGTCAAGCTAGCTCGGAAGTAGAACTCCGGCGCGACCGCAATTCCGTAATTAGTATAATAAATAATCTAGTGCGAGACCAGGAGAGAGAGACGTAGGAACGTTTACATAACGTAGATGCATACCGCATGTGACGTAGCACTTCTTGAAATGGGATAAAAATGCATGAAACGTGCGCTGCATAGGATGCGCTTTCGCGAAACGCGGAAACATAATGCTTTCCCGTACGAACCTTAAATGGTTTCATAATGTTGCCAGTGGACGATCGTCGGCGTTACTGCGCAGCGATTAAGTTAGCAACGCATTATCTCGCACTCCGTTAATCAGATGGAGATTTACGCGGATATTAAATGCAGCATCGCGATATAAATCTGGAGTAACTTACTGAACAATCTGCTACTACTTAGTCATTCGAATGAAGTAAAATACTTTTAATTTTTAAGTCTTTCGAAGTTTCATCCCTATATCTTAGGTTTATGCTTACATTACTTAGCATAAGCCGAATCATCGCTCAAGCAACGTCGGCACTTCTGACGTGGAATTGCATGAGCGAGCAAATGGAAATGCATCTTCATGGAATAGCTGGGCGTAACGTGCAAACGGTGGAACGTTACGATTAGACGTTTCGCATATGCCACACGATGCCCGCGAGACATTTGCTCCAGGAGATGTTCGGCGGGCTGCGAATACTGTTTATTTTCGCTATTAAGCTGGGAGAAATATGGGTTAACTACTACCAAGTGCCGCAGATCGGTGATTAAGTGCAATAAATAATTCCAAGGCACGGAGTGCCGCATTAAGCTGTGCACCAGATAACACCATTGTACGCTCGATCCTCTGCTTTTTGAGAGCGTAACGGGAGCGTAATTTCGTGAAAGAGCAGGAGATAACATGCAAATGTTGCTATATCTCGTTTCGCAGAATGCTCTCGATACTGTTACAATTTATTGTTCTTAAAAAGGCGCGGACTTTTTACATAAAAAAGATATTGCGAAGGAAAGTGTAGGCAAATAACTAATTGATTCATATATCGGCGAAATTAATCTGCTATAAAAATAATGATGTTTCTTCTTCCTTCGTTTCTCTGCCTTTCTTTAGAGAAGAACTTCCACAATATTAATTTTATTTATATTAAAAAAATTTTCTCTTTAATGTCAAAAAGAATCATAAAACATTTTTATTCATATCTGTAAAGTTTATCTTCTTGATGACTTGTTTTTCGGTATGTATCTATATCTAAATAAAATTATATTAAAATGAGAAATTATTTGTACTTGGTAATAAATTATTCGCAAGATATATAATATACTCAGATATTTTTTATAATACATATCGCTCTCTTACACAACTCAAGAAATTATAAGTTTCTTACAATTAAAAAAGAAAGGAAGGATTTGTCGACTTGATAAAAAATTAAATTGATTAATTAAATTATTATATATAGTAAAAAGAATATAACGTAAAAAATTCTAACGTAATCAATGATATCATTAGTCATTATTATTGTTATTTTAATTTGCATGGAAAAAATGATTACGATTGCTACAACAAAATTCGCCCATCAATGCATTTTTTGGTTAGAAGAACTATATAGTACGATTGTGTAAGATTATCTTAATGGCATTAAGAAATTAAAATATTAATTAAAATATCTATTATACAGTTATCACAAATGTATTAATGAGCAAAAATTATTATTATTTCCGGTTATTGCAATCGGAACGTTTTTTTGTGTTGTGATATATTTAACATTTTTTAATGAAGTTTTGTTAGTTCATTTTCGATGATTGATAGTGTTTACTTAATTCATTCGTAATTAATTAATCCTGCTTAACAATGCTATTCTTAGACCCGATTTTTCATTTTTTTTGGTTAATTTGATGATGAATGATTATTAATTTATTTAAACTTAACTTTATTTGATCTAATGATAATATAAAAATTGTGTTTTTTTAGCTATGATTAATCACTAAACTAATAAATCTCGGTTGCACCAACGTTACTTTGATTTTAAGTGAAACTTAAAACTCGCTCTATCTCATTTTAAAAACTGAAAAGAGATAAAGAGAGTTTTTTAAGTCTCGCTTAAAATTAAAGTAATGTTGGTGCAACTGGATCTAAGTCATCTATAAGTTAATTTAAAAGTTACTCATTATAAAACCATTAATTTAATGATTCATATAATAAGAAAAATGCAATTTTTTTTATATTATAATCGGATTAAGTTGTACTACAAATTAATCAGAAAATGGAAAATCGTACCTTAATGTGACACATCCAATGTTTCTTTTACTTTGCTATGTTATAACTTTTTTCTTAATGAAGATATATATGTATATTTATATTATTGTTGTATTTCTTGATAT